TTTTTTTAAGATTTTGAAGGACCAATATTTTTTGGGTAATTTTTAATATAAATTCTTGTGTGAGACGTTTAGACGGGCAACTCGTTATATTTATGTAAATTCATACTTATAACTAGTGAGAATCCCGTTTATATTGGCCTACTGACCCGTTTATATTAATGTAAATAATATTAGCACATATATATTTATTTTTAATACAAGAAAACTAAAAATATTACATACTTTTGTTCATCATAATATTCAAGTATTATTTTGTTCAAAAATTTACTGTCATATAATGTCATTATTATTTTTTATAACACTTATAAATGTAATTTTATTTTTTATCTAATAATAAATATTTATATTAATATTATTACTGATGTAATTAATTTAAAATTATATAAGCAAATTTAATGTTTAATAAGAATATGATTATATGTTAGGTAAGATAAAATGAAATGAATAAACTTAAATTGAATAATCCCACCATTTAAGGAAGCATTTAATGCTACATGATTTTATGGTAAATAAAATTCAAATAATTTATCAAAGTGACATGCAATTAATAAAGTCTCACTACCATTTTTTAAAAATAGAATTTAAGATTGTTGATAACGAGGATAAAAAAATTTAATAATAAATAAATACAAAAATATATAAGTTATTCGCATGACAATTAAATTAATGGGTTGACTGCACTAATAAATCACCTTTTCTTTATACTATCTCAACTCAATTTAACATTTGTTTCTTAATTTTTCTTTTATTTCTTAAAAAAACACACTAACTTTATAAATACAATACATGACATTATCGATTTGAAACAAGCTAACCGAAGTTATAGTATGCGCCTAGTGAATGGACCATTTAAAACTAACTTAACAAATATCACACTCTGTGCTGAGTGAATCAAACATTTAAAACTAACTTAACAAATATCAGCGAGTGAATATTTGTTGTTTTATTACCTATTCTTTATTTTTTAAAATATAAAATTGAATATTGAAGTCTTTCTCAATCTAGTCGGGACTATATTATGAAGAATAAGTGGCTGAAATTTATATCATCAAATGACTGACACAATCCATAAAAATGACCTACTTTAAATATAAGAAAATAGTGTCTGGAACTTATATAATCAAACACTACAACAATCTATTGAATTTTAATATATATATATTTATATAATAAATGTATCTTTAATACATCTTTTGAACTTCAAAACAAACCACTGCACTCTCATACAAAATATTATTTATAATTCCTGTTCATTTTTTTTTTAAAATAATTTTGTTCATTGAATTGGTAGTGAAGTCTAAGTCACATACATTGTCCATTTTATTTGTCACATAAAACTTAAAAGTCACATGAGAAGCAATGTAGCATTGCATATTGCGCGAGCCTTTTTATTGGACTATTTAGGGTGTGTTGAGTATAAGTTTGTGGAAAAAACTACAGTCCCGTCACAGAATAGTTATGTGAGGGATTTTAGCCATGAATTATCTAAAAATAACTCACATATATATATCTGAAGGCTAAAATCTCTCACGAAATCATTCCGTGACGGGATTGTAGTATTTTCCTAAGTTTGTAATTGGATATTTTGGTTTTGAATTTTGATGGTTTTTTTTTTTTTTTTTTTAATCATAGGCAATTTAAAAAAAAAAAAGTTTTTTTTTAGTTAGATTTGAGTGAGATTTTAACTTTGTAGTAAAATAATATTTAAAATAAAATGATTAAAATTGATTCAATATAAAAATAGAAAAATTGTAATTGAAATTAATGAGTAGCTATAATAAAATGAATTGTGGATGAATAACGAATTAAGGCGGATGTAATGTTTATGTATGATTGATATTATTTAATTATATTGATAATACTGGAGATAGTATGGTTGAACTAAATTTAAGTGAAGTTTAGAATTTTAAAACAAAAAAAAAAGTGATTGAATATTAATTGGAAAATTTATAACCAAGCATGCACTTAATTTATAACAAGAATATGCAGAAAACTTATATAGCAATATCCTCCCCAAATGAGAAGTATCTGGAAATTTATCAATATACAATCAGAAACCTTAATACTTTTTTTTGGAGAGAATTTTCAAATCCACTTAAGATGAAATTCCATCAGAAAAACAAACTTAAATATAAACTTTTTTTTTATTCCCAAATAGCAGTGTGCCTAAATTCTGCAATTCTTGATGAAAGTACAACTGTACAAATGCCAATGCACTAAGAACAAACTTCTGTAGCAATATCCAACCATCACCCTTTTCTTTTTTCCCCACCAGAAATGTCACAGCATCTAGCCGTTATTTTTAAATTCGTACCCGAAAATCATCTGACTTGTCGAGAATCTTCTAGAATGTGAACCGGCATTTTGTTCTTCACGGAAAATCATATTCTCTTTTGGGGGGGTTCGTTTTTATGCTGACTGCAAAGTCACTTGCCCAGTAGATGTCTGTTGATAGTCGGCACACGCCTCAGGTGTGTCTTCCTCACTAGGCGGGACGAGTTGCCAAAAGAGCGGCAAATATTTGTCCCAATCTTTAAGAATTTCCGAGCCTTTGTTGCTACCCGTTTTATCCTAGCACACAACAAAATATAAGACCTTGTACTGAAAAACCGAAAAAAATATTGTTTTTTGGAAGTGAAAAAAATCAAACTTGGCTAGGACAGAAAGTCAATCATCTGTTCCCTATTCGAAAGATGAATGAATAGGAAAACCCGAAAAAAAATTGTTGTTTAGAAGCGAAAAAATAGGACTTGGCTAGGATAGATCATAGCAAATCAATCGTCTGCGAAAGGTGAAAAGACATGAAAAACTGAAAAAATATTGCTTTTTGGAAGTGAAATCGAACTAGGCTAGGATAGCAAATCAATCATCTGTTCCCTATTCGAAAGGTGGAAGGATAGGAAAAACCAAAAAAAAATTGTTGTTTGGAAGTGAAAAAATCAAACTTGGCTACGATAGATCGTAGCAAATCAACCATCTGCTCCCGAATCGAAAGGGTGAAAGGTCGGGAAAAACCGAAAAAAAAATATTGTTTTTCGGAAGTGAAATCAAACTTGGTTAGGATAGAAAATCAATCATTTATTCCCTATTCGAAATGTGAAAAGATCAATGTGCCGAATCCTGACATAAAATGCAATTGTATTATATAATTTTTTCAGTTCTCCTAGGATTTTAGATGGTAAGCCGTAAGATTATGTTTTGCGTACTACTTACGACATGGGCTTCGATGAGGCTCTTAAGCTGCATTTGGCCGACTGGGGCGACCACTCTCTGAATCTTGACTATTTCCTTGTTCACCTGTTTATCATTAAAAAGAATGCATATGGTATATTGGTTTTAGTTTAAGATCATTGCTGAGAATTCAGGAAAAAAATTAAAAAAATTAAAAAATAACGACAATTTTGACTGATTTTATCGACCAATGTGGAGAAAGTGATGTATTGTAGCAGAAAGAAACAGACCAATTAAGATAAATCGAATTTGCAAGTTGTTTGCTTGAAGAATGAAGAACAAGTTGCAAAATTGTCATATTTAGTGAATGTACAAATTATTTTTGCTATAAAAAAAAAATCGAGTCTTCATAATCACAAGAAACATATTCATTCGACCAGAACCTTGGGGATAAGCGTGTCATCCTCGTCAAGAATATATGCCAAACCTCCAGTCATACCAGCTGCTACATTTCTACCCACTCTATCAAAATCAAACAGACAAAAAAAACTCAAAAACATCCCTAAAAGTATTCTCCACGATTATTGCCCGTTGATAAAAAAAAATAAAAAAGTAAAGTAATACTCACTTTCCAAGAACAATGACACAACCGCCCGTCATGTACTCACAGCAGTGATCCCCTGTGCCCTCGACCACAGCCTGTGCAAGCGAGTTGCGCACAGCAAATCTTTCCCCGGCTTTTCCTCTCACAAATACTTGTCCGCCTGTTGCCCCATACAAGCACGTGTTCCCTACTATGGTGGCATCCTCAGGGGTAAATCCAATTTTTTCCACGGGTGTCACAACCAGTTCACCTCCAGCCATACCCTTATTTAAAAAAAAAAAAAAAAAAAAAGTGCCACCCGATGTTAGATGCTAAAGTTGACACATGGCGAATTCCGATGTAACTGTGCCTGCTAAATTTTGTCCGGCAAATATTGAGATTTTGCAGTTTTTGTCCTAAATTTGGTCCGGCGAATTGTGGCTGCTAAATTTGGTCTGTAACAATTCTTCATAATTTGCCTATGGAGCTATCTTGACGAGGGCCCAAGGGCCATAATTATCAATTAATCGAGATTATCACATTGAAAGGTTAAAAAAAAAGTCACTGGATTTGAGTCTGGGCTGGTAAATGAGCAAAACCATAGGGTATATTAAAGTACTGAGTTATTTTGGAGTAAAATAAAGAAACCCGAACGAGCTTACCTTGCCTACATAGTCATTCGCTTCGCCAACTAAGCGGATGTTCATGCCAGGTGTCAGAAAACACGCAAATGATTGGCCAGCACTACCATTAAATCTGTAAAACAAATGCTGCCATAATTTTCTGTGTACTGTGTATAAATATAAATAAAAACATATACAGAAGTTTGATTAATATACGTTATATTCAGCTGTCCAGCAAACCCAGTGTCACCATATCTTTTAGCAATTACGCCACCAATACGCCCACAGACTGCCCTATCCACATTGTATATTTTCACGGATTTATTCACGACAGTCTCATTGTCAATAGCCTTGGCTATCTGTACTCGTCAGATGAAAAAAAAAAAGAAAAAACGATTAGCAAGATATACTGAAATGTAATATTCACACAAATATCAGTCCATATTTGTAATTTTTAAAGATAACTCGGTCTTTTGCGTGATTAAGCTACACCTCTGGGTCGGCTAGCAAAGTATCATCAAGAACAAGACCATTGCTATGAACCTCCTGTTTTCTTATCATGGTGCTGCTCCATTTTGGTAATCCTGAACTCTGCAACCAAAAGATAATAATAATAATAATAATAAAAATAATAATAATAATAATAATAATAATAATAATAATAATAATAAATTAATTAATTTATTAATTAATTAAACAAACAATCAATGGTATTTCAATATCTAATATAAGTACTCACCGAAAGAATATAACCAAGATCAAGATGCTGAGTCTTGACCAATGATATATCTCGACGTTTTAGTAGCTCAGTGTGGCCGATAACATCATCAAGCTTCTCGTAGCCTAATTGGGCCAGCATGCCTCTTACCTGTCAAAAAGATTAACGTATAGGCTAATCACAATTACACGATAATCCCCCAAGTTTAGCTTAATACAAAAAGGAAAATCCAATTGCTTTTTGAAATTATAGTCATGACAAAAAACTGAGATTAGCATCTGTATTTCAATTCACCCTCTCAACTTGGTACAGTATGCAAAATAAAAAACACGTCAAGTCGTCAACAAAAGTGTTCACTTTCGCGTAGACCTCAAGGGTAGTATGGTAATTATGGTAGAAGAACAAAGAAGAAAGCTAATTAGTAATTACCTCTTCTGCAACATACAAGAAATAATTGACAAGGTCACCAGGCACACCAGGAAAACGCGCTCTTAGCTCTTCTCTCTGCAAAAAACTCATACAAATATACAACTTTCATATAATTTTTTTTAAAGAAAAAAAAAATTAAAATAAAGGAAAATGCTAATATACACAGAAAGACGATTAACTAATGGACGCGAATTATTCTCATTCTCACCTGACTAGCAACACCAACAGGACAATTATTCGTGTGGCATATACGAGCCATGACACAGCCAGTGGCAATCATAGCAACCGAACCAAATCCGTATTCATCGGCTCCCATTGCTGCTGCCATGAGAACATCAAACCCACTTTTGAAGCCTCCATCAACTCTGAGGATGACCCTTTCTCTAAGCCCATTTTGAAGGAGTGTCTATAGGAAGGTAAAAGTAAAAATCGATGAATATAAAGATCATCTTGGAAAATAAGTTTTTTTTTTTCAATGTCCCGAAATGTCAAATGATAATAAACCTGATGTGTTTCTGTAAGCCCAAGTTCCCAAGGCCCACCAGCATGTTTGATCGAACTAACGGGGCTAGCTCCAGTGCCCCCATCATGTCCAGATATCTAAAAACAGGTAAAAAAATATAAATTTGAATAATTTAGCTTCAATTATTTTGCAAAATGCTGACATTTGCACAAGCCGTAAAGTTTGTGTACTAATTTATATAAAGGGAAAAAAAAAAAAAAAAAAAAA